ATAGAAAACATCTATTTTAAAATTGTAATAATTTTTCAAAATATTACTGTTTTTACTGTAATTAGATAAAATAAATGCAGCCATTCAGAAAATAATTTTGAATAATTTGTTGGCACTACAGTAATAAGAATTTTGGGGTCCAATTTTCTAGTGGCTCTAAAATACACTTTGTCTACTTTATATGTATATATATATATATATGTATATGTATATATATATATATATATATGTATATATATATATATATATATATATATATAATCACGTAGTTTGTATTCACCAAAACTGATTTACTGAAAACACGGACGGTATTGGCATTAGCACGAGCACCGCTTGCTGTGAGGCAGGAGCAACCAGCCATCAGAGGGTTCCTCAGCCTTTGTTCAAGATTTCTGATTTACTTAACGTATACTGCGTGAGGGGGGCTGTGATTGGATGATGACAGGTGTCGGTGATCATTCTCAAGTGATCAGCACTGCTGCTGTTGTATCAGTCAGTGGTTAGATCAGCGTAGCAGTCAAAAAACGGGACAAGGGAAGTCACGTACGGGAGAAATCAATTAGGCCCAAAATACAGGACGTCCCGGCTAATACGGGACAGTTGGCAACCCTATGTATGAAGCATAACTCCCACAGAAGTCACTTTCGAACCAAGTGGCTAGTTTAAACTATAGTCTTTTACAAAGAAGGCAAGACAATGTTGTCGAAACTATTGCAGGATACCTGAGGTAACTTTGTTTTATTTTAAACAGTTTGCTAGCCTGTCATAATGAACTACTCTCCATTAATTCATAACCAATTGTTTTGCAGATATTAATTTTCAATAAAAGATCTTTGAAAAGGTGGTTTGACTTGTGGGTGGTTTTTCTAGACCTCGGCGATGAGTTTATCTGTCTAGTTTAAATGCACAACTCCTTTAAATTTTAAAGGAATCTGATTGGCTGTCAGTGTTTTTCTTTTATTATCTGGACGATATTGTTCATCTATTTTGTTACAGTTGTGTTGCGGACTATGCTATCCCTTATGAAAATTAACCATGGTTTTATTATAGTAATAATGAAGTAACCATGGTTTTTGGTGTATTGACTACCATTTGTATAACCACAGTCGTATTACAAATGCCATGGTTAAACTGTGGTCAGTGTAGCAAAACCACTGTTAACCATGTTTTTTTTGTGTGATAAAACCATGGTTAATTTTCGTAAGGGATTCTCTTAAATTCAGAACAATTTTATATTTATATTTATCGTTCTTGGTGTGAATGGAACTTTTAATGAAAATGCACTCTGTGCTGACCAACACAAAGCTGCTTGGTTAGAAACTGACTTCTGTGTGAGCTGTGCTTTACACGTCTCTATGCTATTGACAATGGACAATTTTTTTCGCACATGCAATTTAGGCAGCAGGTAACTTTTTGTGTATGATAATATATGTCCATCTGTGCGCAGGTGTGTGCATGCCAGGTGAGAGCCACAGGTAAAATGTATGCCTGCAAAAAGCTGGAGAAGAAAAGGATAAAGAAGAGGAAGGGGGAGGCAATGGCTCTAAATGAGAAACAGATTCTGGAGAAGGTCAACAGCAGGTTTGTGGTAAGTGGATTCATTCATTTACCTGTGATCTTTCATCTCCTTTCCTCTGGCTTAGTTTACACCTGGTATAAACATCTTTTGCGATTCAGTCACAAGTGGCCAGACAAGACAGGCTCAAATGCATATTCCTCAGTGCCTTCCTGTCTCCCTCCCATTTTTTTTAAATTTAATAAAGGCTTGTATTTTTCAAAACGGAAATATTCTGATCGTTCTCGTTTCTCTGGCTCTCAGGTTAGTTTAGCGTACGCGTATGAGACCAAAGATGCCCTGTGTCTGGTGCTGACCATAATGAACGGTGGTGATCTGAAGTTTCACATCTATAACATGGGAACCCCAGGCTTTGAGAAGGAGCGTGTGCAGTTCTACGCTGCTGAGATCTGCTGCGGTCTCGAGCACCTGCACAGAGAGTCTATCGTCTACAGGTGTGCAGCTCTACATCCTCAAATGCCCCCAGCCTCATAAAGTGATGATGAAATTATATGGTTAAGTCATTTTTATGTATGTTGCTTTCTATCATTCTAGGGATTTAAAACCAGAGAATATACTTTTAGATGATAATGGTAAGTCAAATCAATTTTTCCTTCAAGTGAGCTAAATATGGAATTGCATTGTACTGATCACACTTTTATGTTCAGTGAGTTACATTTCGTTAAATTGTGAAATGCAACAATAAATGCATTATGCATTTATTCCTAAAGGTCATATCCGGATCTCAGACCTGGGGCTGGCCATTAAAGTGCCTGATGGAGAACAGATCCGTGGCCGAGTGGGAACCGTGGGCTACATGGGTAATGATCTTTAATTGCACTGATTTGCACTGGGAGATATGTTGAATATCCACTATATATTGACAGTAATTCTGTTGGCAATGTACAATTTAAGCATAATAGCATCTCTCATTTGTAAACAAATCATAATTTTTAATGTATTTTTTGGAATTCAATAAACAAATATTAATTCTTGATATACAGTACCATTCAAAAGTCTGGGGATTTAACATTTTAAAGAAAGGATGCATGCAGTAATAATGCATTAAATAAATGCCCTTAAATTGTTACAAAAGATTTCTATTTCGAATTCATTTGTGATTTAGAGAATCCTGAAAGTAATGTATAATGGTTTACACAATTCACATGATTCAGCACAACTATTTTCAAAACCGATAATAATAAGAAATGTTTCTTGAGCAGCAAATCAGCATATTAGAATGATTTCTGAAGGATCATGTGACACTGAAAATGAGTAATGATGCTGAAAATATTTTTCATTGCAAAAATATTACTATTTTACAGTATTTTTAATCAAATAAATGCAGCATTGGTGAGCAGAAACTTCCACAGAAACTTACAGACCCAAACCTTTGAATGCTAGTGTATCTATTGAAAAATATTTGTTTGTAGCTGCACCGATCAGTCCTGTTAGATATCTATTCATAGCAATATGAAACATTCAAATGTTGTTTATTGATTGATGAACTCAAACTGTATTGACGGACAGCTCCAGAGGTGATCAATAACGAGCGGTATAGCATGAGTCCGGACTGGTGGGGATTGGGTTGTCTGATCTATGAGATGACTGCTGGCCGATCGCCTTTCCGCGCTCGCAAAGAACGAGTGAAGAGAGAAGAGGTGGAGAAGAGGGTGCAAGAGGAGGAAGAGGAGTACAGCGACAAGTTTTCAGAAGACACCAAAGCCATCTGCAGGATGGTGAGGCCACACACACACACACACACACACACACACACACACACACACACACAGCATGAAGTTTCTATGCTGGTCAACATCCAAGATGACACAGCAGTGTACAACTAAGAGCTTGTACCCAAAGCTACATTATCTCTTCAGTCAAACGCGCCATAGAAGCTGATTTAGAGCCCATTGATTGAGCGCACAAAGCTGGTAAAGTTGAGTCCATTCTGTATGTTTGGCTCATTTCTCTGGCTGGTAGTGCATGTTTTCTGCTGGGAAAGAAGCTGATAATGAGCTCTCTGAGACCAGCTCAGTTCAGGATTGTTTAGTAATCAAAATTTATTGTAAAGAACCTCTGTTGCCTTTTATTAGGGTTGTGTCAATGTGACTGGCTTTCACCCTAAAAATGAAAAATCTGTCACTTATTCACCCTCACGTTGCTCCAAACCCATATGACTTTATTTTTCAGTATAAGTGAACAGAGACAGAGAAAAGTTGAGATAAATATTTCACAAAATGAATTCTTAGGACTTTAAAGTTAATATGTGGCCTTACGATGTTAAATAAATATGTATATGATGTATAATACATAAATGTTAAAAACAACAAATTTACATGTAGTTTTATAGGTGATAAAGTGTTAATCTTAGAGAGTGACAACATAATAAAAAGTAAATATGTTCCAATTAGTATTTTAACAATTTGATTTTGTACATGGGTAATATAAAATCCAATTATTTAATGTTGGAAGCAATTATTCATGCAGTTCAATAATTGTAGTAATTATTTATATAAAAATCACACTTTTATGAAACTATTGTAAGAAACTAATACTTTTATTCAGCAAGAAGGCATTAAATTCATTAAAATGAGAGTAAACACATTTACAATGTTGCTGTTTCAAATATTTTGTTTTGAACATTCTGTCCGTCAAAGAATCATGAAAAATCACGGTATAATGGTTTGCAAAACTGTTTTCAACATTGATAATAAGAAATGTTTCTTGAGCAGCAAATCAGCATGTTAGAGTGATTTCTGAAGGATCATGTGACACTGAAGACTGGAGTAATGATGCTGAAAATTCAGCTTTAACATCACAGGAATAAATTACATTTTAAAATATATTGCAAGAAAACTTTTCAATCTTAAATTGTAATAATATTTGGCAATGTATTTCTGATCTAATAAATGCAGCCTTGGTGAGCAGAAGAGATTTCTTTCAAAAACATGAAAAAAATGTATTGCCCCCAAACAAAATTAGATTTGAGAGTTTCAGCAGAGGGTAACATAAATTTTGGTCTTCACACAAAACTATCATATGACTTTATAATAGGTAACGAATCGCGTGGAGTACTTGTTTTGCTCTTCACTGCATGCTCAATCTGGTATGGAAAATGTGATGTTCTTATTTTGGTTTCACCAGAAGATTTAAAGTCAAATGAATATCAGAATGACATGAGGATGAGTGATCGATGACAATTTTCGGGTGAACCATCCATTTAGCTGTTTTGAATTTAAAATTCTTTGTCCTCATGCAAATGGCCTCCACATACGAGCTCACGAAAGATCCCAGCCTAACTCGTTCCTGTGTGTGGTTTTGTGATGTCTGGTTTGTGATTGCTGACCCTAGTTTTAGGATGTTTGCCCCATTTAAATGTCTTCATTTGGCACACGCACTCTTTTTCGTAGTGTTTGGAAGCCATTGACCAGCTTCGGCTGTGGTGTAATAGGTTACATTCCACTCTTAAAGAATGTATAAACCTGTGTTCCTAACGTCTGACTGGCTGCTCTCCGCTCTCTGTCCCGCAGCTGTTAGCCAAAGATCCCAAGCAGAGGTTCGGCTGCCAGGCGGACGGAGCAGCTGGAGTCAAAGCCCACCCCTTCTTCAAGAACATCAACTTCAAGAGGCTGGAGGCTGGCATTCTGGAACCTTCCTTTGTGCCTGATGTGAGTTCCTGTTCTCATGTGCCTGAAATAACAGTCAGAAAAATCTGAATATTCTATTGCAGCTGTAGACAAAATATTTTTTTTAAATCGATGAAGTTTGCATATGTTTTTGAGTATCATATTTGATACATCAGGCTTTTATGACTCGTATAGTATGATATAGTGAGAATATGGAGCTCATATTTGGGGAGAAAAACACCTCAGTTTTATCCAGAGGCCCAACCTGAGCAAAAACATTAAAATCAGTGCAGATGATAATATTTATATGACCAGAAAGTACGATAAAATTCTGATGGCTTGTAAATTGTGAGATCTTCATAACAGTATAGCAGTCTACTTACATAAAATACATATTAATATCAGTTGTCACTCTGTAAATCCCAATAATATATTTATATGCTTAGTTTTTTTTAATAAAAGCACTGTAGTTTTTATTGTGGGGGCAAAACATATAATGTAATGCCATACAATGATGATTAAGAGATTAACAAATAAATGTTCCTCAAAAGCCTGAAGGATCATATTTGAAACTCATATTTTAACATGATTTTTCTAAAAAAAATTAAATAAATAAATAAAATCTTATGTATGGATAATCAAGTAAACCTTGATTGCTTCCATCCAGTAAATGTTCATCTTGAAATATTACGGACAACATAAGTTATTTTTACTGTACATTTACTTTATTTAAACCAATAAAGATTTCAGAGCAAAAAAACGTGAACCGCAACCTTTTAACAATTATAATTACAAAGTCATTTACTTGCTAAAAAAGTATAAAATATCAATCAAATGACAGAAGGCATGTAGTAGGTAGTGTACAACAGACTTTTAAGCAAAGTTTTGATTATGTTGATAATTTAGAGGCCATAGAAATGTGCATATAAAATACGATACAGTAGGTTTTATAGAGTTAAATTCTGTGGAAGCTCATGAAATAAAAAGATAATTGTAGTAATTGAGTTTTTATCTCACGATTGCACGTTATAAACTCGCCATACAACTTTTTCTCTCAGAATTGCAGGATATAAACTCAGAATGGCAAGAAAAAAAGATTAAAAACTCACAATTACCTTTTCTGTTTTTTATTCCATGGCAAAAAATAAACTTCTATAAAATTCTTTCATTGCTCTGTTTTTCATTTTTGTTTCCCCTCTTTGCTAATTTCATAGCCCAGGGCGGTCTACTGTAAAGATGTTCTGGACATTGAGCAGTTCTCCACCGTTAAGGGTGTCAACCTGGACCAAACAGACAATGATTTCTACTCCAAGTTTGCCACTGGCAGTGTCTCCATCCCATGGCAAAATGAGGTACGAAGCTGTGCTAAAATCCCAGCTGCTGCCAACATAATAACATGGCACTTTTTTCAGATTCCACAATAATGAACCTTGTGAAAAATAAAAGTATACTACAAATATCTTTACATATTTATGTGCTTAATAAAAAATACCCTGCAATTGTACTGTTAGTATACTAAACTGGTATACTTAAAGTCTGCTAAATTGGAACAACTAATTTTGTACTTAATGCACTTTAATTGTGTGGAAGTAGTTCTGAAGTCCAACTAAAGATGTACTAAAGTATATTTGATTGGGCTAAAGTGGAACTATTGCAAGTATACTTCAGGTACACTTTAAATATCTTGCATTTAAAGACTGATATTATCTAAAGATCATACAATCCTCATCAATACTGACATTAAAAGACATTTTAGGCTTAATATTAAGAGATGTGCATTGTGCACAAGTGATACTCCAAATAAAGTTTTATTACAATTTTTATATCAGTAAGTCTTGAGCGATATGTCATATATATGTTAGATTTGAACTATAAGAACTATATGAATAGATTTGAACTATACTTGGTATGAAATAAATGTATTTTAAATATCACTTTTTACTAGGGGAATCAACCTGGTATCGTTGTTAAAGTGCCCCTATTATGGGTAATGAAAGGTTCATATTTTGGTTTTGAGAGTCCCCAACAACAGGTTGACATGCATGCAAGGTCAAAAAAACACTTTCATTGTCTTATATAATATGCATTTTTTTTTACCTTACTTGCTCAGCGACTCTCAAACGATTCGCTCAACGATTCATTTTTCCAAACCCATCCTTTGCGTAACGCTAATCTGCGGTGATTGGTCCGATTGGTCTCATTTTCATTTCACCATGAGCCTGTAATGCCTGATAAAGCAGCGTTTGTAAGCGCAGTGCTGCTTTGTGTACAGCGTTACCAGGGAAACCGCTATTTTACTGCTCCAAAAGCGCACCTAGTGGCAAAGAATGAATTTGCATTTTCATTCAGACCAACATGAAAAGAACAAGTGGGCGGGCAATATGCTAATGTTCCATGTTGAGGTCAACATGAAACGGCTTGGGATTTGTTTAAAAAACGACTCGTTTCAATGATTCAGAGTCGACTCTTTCTTTTGGGAGACAATAACCTTTTACACGGTGCACTTTCAGATTTAAAATTTTGCAGGATGTTTTCATTCACTTAGAGCTGTTACACACTGCATGAAAGGTCATTTTCAAAAATCCATAATAGAGGCACTTTAACATTCCATGTGGAAAACCAAAATAAAAAAATGTAAAAAAAAAAACATCTTGACCTTTTAGGTGTACAGTGTGTTAATAGTGTTAATAATGTATATTAGCATGACCGGAAGGCAGCATTGACCAATCAGCATCCAGAACCATAATTATAGGTTCTGTAAAGATGTTCAAAAAATAAGGATGATTTGCCCTTCTCATTGTCATTTCTCTCTCTTTGTTAATCTGTGTCTGTCTGTGTGTCTCTTGCTCTTTTGTGTCTCGTTTCTTTCCTTCCTTTTCTATTGTTCTCTGCTACAGATGATCGAGACGGAGTGCTTCAGTGATCTTAACGTATTCGGGCCTCAGGGGACGCGGCCCCCTGACCTGGATTGGAACCAGCCTCCCGAGCCTCCTCGGCGTAGCCTGCTGGACAGGATCTTTAGGAGACATGTGAGGATCTCCTCCACCTCCACCACAGAGGAACACCCCAGAGAACACAATAGTTAACTACAGACCAGGTCAAACACCCCATCAGGACACACATGCTCACACCTGTAGAGCAGAACAGCAGCGATTGGGCTGAAGCTTTCTACACAGGAGCCAAAAATAACGCTTGGCCACATCAAAACTCAAAAGGGGGTTCAGAATTCTTGAGTCCATTTGCTTGTATTTTGCATTATTAAAAATTATTCTTTTTTCTCTCTCTACAAAAGAGTTCACGTGATAAATGAACAGATTTACTTGATTTATTTTATTAGTGATTTTAGAAATTAAGAATTAGAATTAATAATGTTTCCTCTTCATTATACATTTCTTTGTTTTATCTGATTTAAATCTGTATGTTTTATTGTGGAATTATTTAACCGCAAACACAAAAATTATGGTTTTGTTCTTTGTTTTTATTTTGGTGGTTTGATGCAAGAAATACACCACATAAACTACTTTTTAAGAGTCAGTAATATTTTTTTGAAGTAAGTCTCTGCTCACCAAGAAGATTTATTTGATCAGACATTCAGAAAAAAATTGTAATATTATTGAAATATTATTACAATCTGAAATAACTGTTTTCAATTTTAATATATTTTAAAATGTAATTTATTCCTGTGATGAACAATTGAATTTTCAGCATCATTACTCCAGTCTTCAGTGTCACATGATCCTTCAGAAATCATTCTGATATGCTGATTTGCTGCTCAAGAAACATTCATTATTATTATTGTTAATATTGAAAACAAGCATAATATTTTTGGTGGAAAACGTGATCCTTTTTTCAGTATCCTCAGATGAAAAGAAAGTTCAAAACAACCTTTATTTGAAATAGAAATCTCTTCTAACATTATGAATGTCTTTACTGTCACTTATAAGTAATCAAAGTATGAATTTTAATTTTTTTGAAAAAAATCATACTGATGATAACCAGTACAACTGGACTGAATTAAAGCATGCACATTTATTTTCATTTAGCCCCTATTTCTGGAAAAACAAGGAAAAGGGAGAGTTTTACAGTTGTTTTGAAAGTAAAAAAATAAATGGGAGAAATATCTGATTGCGTAACATGCGTTACCCCCAACACGGCTGGCGAGTGTTCATTTTGGCCCCTGATTGTACACGTCTATATGTGAGAGAGCATTTATACATCGTCACTGACATGATCTATTTCTGTCTGTCACCCTTCAGCATCCAGAGGTGACCATCGCTCAAAGCCGGGTCTCGTCTTCCAGCGTCAACTCCGTTGACTCCATGTCAAACTCTGCTCCCTAGTGGACAGATTGCTTGCTACGGGACTACAGGGAACAAAAGAGAGTGAGCGTGACAAAGAGAGGAAAGAATGAGAGTGAGGAACTCCTCCTGCCCTTTAAAGACCGGTCACAAACCGTGAAAGAGTCCGTTTTCCTTGCCTTGGCCCTCACTATCCATCCACTGCCCGCCGAGAGGACAGGAGACAAAACAAGCTCCCGTTTAAAGACCTTTATTTATCCGTTTTGTGACAGAAAGGAGAACATTTATTCCTTCACCTTACGCTCCCTCAGGATTGCTGGAACAGTAAAGAGCCACTGACAATGACAGAATATTAACTCATATTATTCAGGGGATTTTATCGACAAAGGCAGGCCTCCACAGGGAACGGGAAGGGGACTTTTTAAATGTTCTTTTGCAAAGGAAAGCTAATATAGTGAACTTAAGAGACTACACGCGCACTCACAAACACACACACTTTCTCGTTTCCTCCTCCATCCCTCACGCAATACCTACCTACCCCCTTTTTTCTTTCCGTCTACTTGTAACACCTCCAACCTCAACCCAAAATATGCATTGCCTTGCATACTCTCAGGCCAAAGATAGCACTTATTACAAGAAGACACGTATTTGAGCAGCCATTGCCATATTTCGCTTCAGAGAATGACGAAAGGCCTAAAAGCACAAGGAAATAGGAGCTCGGTTAAGCTGTACATAGTTTCCCCCTATCTATTTTGCAAATTTTGTTATATCACTGAAAAACAAACTCAGTTTGGCAGTTTCAGTCTCTTCCAGTCTACTGAAAGGGATAGTTCACTCAAAATTGAGAATTTTGTCATGATTTTCTCATCCTCATGTCATTCCAAACCTGTATGACTTTCCTTCTTCTGGTGAACATAAAAGAAGATATTTTTAAGAATGTTGGTAACCAAATCGTTTTGGTTGACTGCACAAAAAAACAATGGAAGTCAATGGGAACCAACACTGTTTGGTTCGCAACATCCTTCAAAATATCTTCTTTGATGTTCAACAGAAGAAACAGGATCTGGAACGACATGAGGGTGAGCAAATGATGACCAAAAGAAGGAAGTTTTAGGTAGTATCCCTTTAAGACCAAAGTCCGTTATCTGAATCTAATCTGCTCTGTTTGTCAGGCACTAAAAGTAAGCTGAAAGTATCTCTGTATGGTCACTTCCTCTGTGTGTAAAGGCCGTTGGCAGTGGTGAAAGGCGGAGCCATCTGAGTGGGCATGGCCTTTGGGTAGGTAGGCCATCTACCAGCAGATACACAGCCAATCACAGCACAACAAATCAGTCAGGGAGTCCTTCTCATCTCATCACATTATTCACAAGTGGCTCGTTTAACCGATTTACTGAAACTGTTGGTTACTTCAGCTTTCATAGGCAATTTGGCATTAAATCGGAGGACATTGCAGGACTCTTTAATCTGAGCTACTCAGACTTTGCTGATGTGGAAAACCGTTTAAAAATGTGCTAAATTTGTATTGCGGCAGCTCAAAGTGGAATTATCTAATAATTCACATAATCACTGCAAGAATGCCACAGCACTTCTACATTTTACAACAAAACCGCTTTTCTTCCAGATTTGGTGTTTAAATATGCCTTCATTTCATCCGATATCAACCACTACTAGACTGAAACTGGTAAAACTTCACTTCAGCCTTCACACACACACACACACACATAATACACCAGACTCATGAACTTCCATAGGCTCAGCAGCTGTTTTCTCTTATTTATACCGTTTCCAACTGGTAGGAAAACATTTCATCCATCTTTCCCAACTGTAAATGTACTAATTTAAAAAGTGTGCAGGATTTCTGTTGTACAGACATCACGGGAATCCAAAACACACTGCCCTTAAATACATTTATATCCCTGCGTAGAGAATCCGTGATAGTTTTGTAGTGTTTCTTAATGGTAGTTTATCAGTAACCAAACAGAGTGACTCAAGAGGGAACGGAATACGAATCATTTACAATACCATTCCAAGGTTTTTATACACCTCAACGTTCATTAGCGCATCTCAAGACACATCAAGTGTATTAAAATGGTGACTTGAAGCTATTTCACGTTTACGTATGCTAAGTGCCACGTCATTTGTGTTTACCAAACGATGCATCAGTTATGCCATTAATTTACCGCGCTAGAAATGTCCTCTGAAGGTTCAAGTGTATACTTAGTGCAGGTTCTAACATTTCAGTCTTCTCATTTGAAATGTGTGTAATAACTGGTTATTGCACTGTATCATGACATGTTACATAAATTGCACTGCACACCACATGGTCAATCAACTATTCATTGAGCGGGACCAGTGTGTCTGTTGGTTTTGGGGGCTGATCTCTGTGTATACTTAGTGCCATGCTGTTGTTCGCTGTGGTTAGACTCTATACGCCACATAGTTGTGATGATTCAAGGTCAATTTCAGGTGAAATCCAGAACTGATTCGTGTTAATGCATTTCTCCTATTTTTTTTTAATTGTGGCCAATGTTAACAGCTTGTTCGGAAGTACTTTATTTACTGTACCATTACAGGGAATAGTCATTTTGCCACTTTGGTGTGGATCCAAATTGGGGAAACTTTTTACCATAGTGATTTAGTTGATACTCTGACAAATGATAGTCATGTTACTGAATTTTCCCCATGTATGCATAGGTAAACTGTGCATATTATTTATATAATAATTCATTGTGTTTTTAGCACTCTATATCATTAAGGGGGACTGATGTAAATTGATATTATATGTTATATCGGTAAGTAAGTGTTCATTTGATCTGTGGAAACAAAGGAAAGGTTTGCCACCTTAAACTGTAAACTAGTAACCAGTAAACTAGCATTATTAGTGTCATTTAAACAAAAAGGTTGTAAATTGAAAGCCTGATGGTTTGAAAGTTTATAATTCTCTATTGTCCCTCTGAAGTAATTTTAAAATCTGTGAAGTTTCGAAGAATGATGAACCTTTCCTCAGACTGAGAGTTAATGCATTGCTTATGAATATTTCCTTTGTCAAATGAACTTGTGACAGATACATAATTGCTGCATTAAAGGGAACTTGCCTTTAAAACAATGACCAAACTATAAGGGAACTGAACTGGTATTTATTTGGCAAGTAAAAACTGAAATTTCTCACTAGAGAAAATCAGTTTTTGTGGACACGGCTACTGTTGGATTCATTCAAGTCTTGAAGTGAGTTTTAACTACATTCAGGAAGAAAAAAAAACCCAATGAAGTGCCTCCTTTTTAGTAGTCTAGTCCAGGTTAGTGCCCATGATACGGTTTGCACTTTGTGTGTCACTTCAGTCATTCACATGATGTAAACATGTACACGCACAAACACACGCACACATGTTTTAAAGAGAGGTGTTGTACTATACTGATTGCATGTGAAGCCAAACCTGACAGAGTCCTTCTGAATAAAACCTGTGCTGGCCTGAACAGAACTGTGTAGTTCTTTTAGAAATGTGAACGTGTTTGTATTATGATGGCGTACGTGAATGTCTTGAAAGGTAAACATAAAACTTTTAATAATAAATGGTAAGGAATATTGACTTTGGTTTAAATGGTTTCATTTTCATCTGATTTTATATATATATATAATATTACAATTTAAAATGTCAATTATATATAATTAATTTTTTATTCAAATTTTTTAATTTAATTTTGGGGGCTTTTTTCAGGTAATATTGGTAAAATGTAAGTAATTTGATTTAAAGATG